GCCCCACCCCTCCACCCCTGTGTAGAGGCTTCAAAACTCTCTTTTGAAGTTTTGACTTCTCAGCCTTAAAGCAGAAGGTGGGGGCCTCTGGCCAGCCCCTGAGCCTTTCTTCCTCAGAATCCCCCTGGGGGAGCAGACACCCCACAGCACATGTGCTCCAGGGCCCCTGACCCACAGTGGGGCGTGAGGAAGAAGTCAAGGAGTAGCCACTCTGCTGAGCCTTTTGGTGCTTTCTCATTTCACAGGTGCCTGCAGGACGGGGCTGGAGATGTGGCTTTTGTTAAGGACAGCACGGTGTTTGGTAAGAGCAGGGAGTAGAGCCGTGGGTACTGCCCTCTTCATTTTACTCTATCACATGCTGAGTGTTGAGATAATTTAGCCCCCAGTTCTTGGCACACTGCGATCATGATTCCCTGCAGGGCACAACTCATATGTTATTTCACATGCCCAGTCAGTAGTCTTCTTTAAATCTCCCATGCCCCTGCCTTCTCTTCCCCTTATGGACACCCACGTCCAGGAGCTTTTTGTCTCACACAAAATGTACAGTGCTGTTCTGAGTTTCTGGGCTTGAAGTTCACAGAAGCTTTACTGAACGTTAGAAACCATGCTGCTCCTAGGTCTACCACTGAGCGTTTTGTTTTAGAGATCTATCTTGGCTGTTGTGTATAAGTCAAGTTAAGAAATTCTCACAGTGGAGTATTCCATGGAATGTGTCCACCATATCTTACTTATCTATCACCTAGTGATAGGCAGCCAGGCTGTCCTCTACTTTTCTCTACCACTAACAGCTTCAACACTGCTATCCTTAGAGGTGTCTTCTTACTGTCCTGCAGGAGAATGTCCCTGAGTGACCACACACTGAAGCACAATTGTTGGGTGTGTACAGGCCCACCACATTCTACCCAGGACCACCAGAGACAGGTCTACATTCTACCCAGGACCACCAGAGACAGGCCCACATTCCACCAGGACCAACAGAGATAGGCCCATATTCTACCAGGGCCACCAGAGACAGGCCCACATTCTACCAGGACCACCGGACAGGTGCAGATTCCACCAGGACTACCAGAGACAGGCCCACATTCCACCAGGACCACCAGAGACAGGCCCACATTCCACCCAAGACCACTGGGCCACTCTCAGGAATGGTAGTTTGCAATTACACTCCCACCAGTACTCCATGAGTGTTCTCATTTCCCCATAACTTCAGGCTGGGGTATTTTTTACTTTCGTGTTTTTTGCCCAGATGATGGCTTTAAAGTGATAGATATTTCATTGTTGTTTACATTTCATTTGTCTGATAGCTAGTGAGTTTGGTCATCTCTTAATATATTTGCTAGGAATGTAGGCTTAGGTAGTGGTGAAGAACTTGGCTACTAATGAAAAGTTTGGCAGTTCGAATCCACCAGCCTCTCCTTGGAAACCCTATGGGGCAGTTCTACTCCGTCCTATAGGGTTGCTATGAGTTGGAATTGAGTCGATGGCCACGGGTTTAATTTGGTTTTGGTTGTTACTTTATAACGTTTGACTGTTTTTTTATTGGGTCCTATGCCTTGTTTGTTCACAGTTTCGTTTCATGGACAGAAGTTCTTTCTATCTAGATATCAAACCATTGTTAGTTTTATACTTTACGGTGATCTTTTCTCAGTCTGTCATGTATCAATAGCACCTCTGTCAAACAGAAGTCCTTGATATCGATGGTATTTAATTGGTCAGTTTTACCCGTTTGTTTTGTGTTTTTTCAGCTTTTTAAAGATGACTTTCTTCACCCTAAAGTAATAAAGATTTTCAAAAATAAGATTTGAAGATCCTCCTCCCACTCCCAGTATCTGTCTATATGTACTCTATCTAGGATATTAGGTATGGATTCAGCTTTCGTATTTCCCCCCTTTATTGTGAGGCAATTTTCCTTACAACAAACAATGGTAAAAACTCCATCTTTTTCCTGCTAATACGTGGAGCTGCTCCTACATCAAGTTCGCATATTTATCCATGCGTCAGATTTTGAGCTGTTTTGTCTCATTGGTGTATTTGTATTTTTCTGCTTTTATTTCTATGGCTTATTGTGGGTCTTAATATCTGGTAGACTTTTACTCTTTCATGTACATTTTAGAATCACTTTGTTGTATTTCCTAAAAAATCATAATATAATTTTGATTGGAATTGTATTGAATTCAAATTGGTCCTGAAAAATTGACATATTTATAACATTAAGTTGTCCAATGTATGATCATGATAAATCTCTCCATTTTTATCACATTTCTTTTTATATCCTTCAATAACCCGTTGCCATCGAGTTGATTCCAACTCAGAGTGACTCTATAGGACAGAGTAGAACTGCCCCATAGAGTTTCCAAGGAGCACCTGGTGGATTTGAACTGCCGACCTTTTGGGTAGCAGCCATAGCTCTTAACCACTGCACCACCAGGGTTTCCATATCCTTGAAATATCCTTCAATAGAACTTAACATTTTTTCTCCTAGTGGGTCTCATGCATTGTTTTGCGAAGATAATCACTAACTCCTTAAAGGTCTTAGTTGCTATTGTAACATCTTGTATTCTATATTATTTTCTGTTTGGTTATTGATAATGAGGATAACATTTAATTTTTTTATTTTAATGCATAGTTTTATTTTGTTCCTTTTTTACGTATTTTCTTTTTTTTTTATATTTTGAGACTATGTTTTTCTGTTTTTATTTTGGTAAACTTATATCAATTTTAAAATTTCTTCACACCAAAAGCATAATACAATTTCAAAATGACATCCATATTCCTTACAGTACAGTATAAAAAGGAAATTAATATGGAGCCTGACGGCGTAGTAGCTATGGCTGCTAACCAAAAGGTTGGCAGTTCCCATTGTAAATCGCATGGTTTTTCACTTCTAGAATAATACAAAAGTGAAATTATCCTTTATTATGCAAGTGTATTTATATCTTGGTCAATACAAGATAGAAAAACTCAACAAACATTAGGTTACTAAACATGTGTTAAATATCAAACGTATTTTGTTTTTACGCATTTTCTTCCTTTTGTTGATAACGTTGGATTTTTCTGGGTTGGGCTTGTAACTTGTTACCTTGCTGAACTTTGTTGGCAGTTTTATCAGTTCTTTCTTGGTTTTGTTAGCTTTTCTAGCTAGATGATTATGTCCTCTTCAAATAAGAGTTTATCTTTTCCCTATAGTGTTTGTATCTAATTCTTTTTTTCATTGTGTAACCCGGGATGTCTAGTACTGTGTCGAGCAATAATGGTAATAGCTGGCATCCTTTCCTTTCCCTGATCTTGAAGTGAATGCATCTAAAATTTCTCCCTTGGAAATGATTTTGCTGTAGATTTTTGATAAATGGTATTTATCAAGTTCAATAATTTTATCAAGTTCTCTACTATTACTAGATTTCTGAGACAAAAAAAAAAAACCATGTTGAACATATCAAATACTTTTTCTGCACCTATTAAGTTTACAACGATATCATGGTTTTCCTCCTTTAATCCATCAACATGGTGGATTACTTTAGCTTTTTTGATATTCAACCATTCTTTTGTTACTGGAATAAGCTGATAAGCTTTAATCCTGATCTGTTAGTTTTTAAATACTCTGTTAGGTTGAGTGAGTTAATATGTTATTTGGGATTTTTACATTTATGTTCATAAGTAAAGTAGTCCTGGTGGCACTTATACAATGATTTGGGCAGGTTTCTTTCACTTTGTATGTTTGGAAGTAATTTATATGAAATATATTAACAGCTGCTTGAAACTGTGATTGAACTCACTCATAAAAACATTCTTTTCCCCTCTTTTGAAACAATATGAGGAGTGAATAACTGTATTTCCTGCCTTAAAAGTTGTCCTTTTTATTCTTTCCAGAGATGTGTGTAAGGTAGTGTCCCCTGGCTGGCCTCTGGGCGTGTCTCCATGATGTGACCCTCTTCCTCTTTGCTTCACAGAGCAGCTGTCTTCCTCACACAGGGTTGCTGTGGAAACAGATGGGGTCTGGTTTGGCCCCCTTGGCTTGGAACACTGGGCTGGCCCCGAGGCTTTCTGGGAAATATCTTTAGCTCTCTGAGGGCTCCAGAGAAATTCACTGCCTTTCTGACCCTCAGTTTGGTCATCTGTGTAAGACAGCTCCTTTAGCTCAAAATTCTATGGGTAGAGGGGAACTACAGCTTATGGTTACTGCCCAGACTCAGCTCATGAGCTCCTTCCCACCCCTTCCCTCTGCCCAGAGAATCTGCCAAACAAGAATGACAGGGACCAGTATCAGCTGCTCTGCCCAAATAACACTCGGAAGCCAGTGGATGCATTCAAGAGTTGCCACCTGGGCCGGGTTCCTTCTCATGCCGTTGTGGCCCGAAGTGTGAATGGCAAGGAAGACTTGATTTGGGAGCTTCTCCGCCAGGCACAGGTATCCCCACGCATACCTCCCCACTGCTTGGATTTAGGGGGAAGGTGGTCCTTCCTTCTCTAACTTCCTGCCACTCTAGAAAGCCTTCAGTAGCCTCACTGAAGAAATGTTCGTCAGTGCATTGGACCACTTGTGCCCAGCCTGCACTCTGGATAGCAGAAACAATGAAACCCTCCCGTCTAGCATTGCTGTCTGACAGTATCTCAGAGAGTTTGTCCTTCTGTCCTTTTCAAGTCTAATTTCACTCTTCAACCTTCACATCCTGTAGCACATCTTCTATGATGTTAGGTGGAAGTGATTCCTCCTTCTTATTCCCGTCATTCCCATCAGGGACAGCAGGGAGGTGATAGAGGGCTGAAGCCCTATGCATCTGATCCTATGTATCTGTCCTAGGGCAGCCAGGCCTCCCAGCTTCTGCCCTGCTGGATACCCACGTGCTGCCTCCCTCTGCTTCTGGGCCCACTTCTGTGCTCCCTGGAGTTGATCTTCCTTTGCTCCTCCAACTGGCCTGAGGGTGCCAGGACTTGCAGCATCTCCCAGATGCTCTGTAAGGACTGCCCTGGCCATGTGTGTGCTGCTGGGGTCTTCCTGGGTTACATGGCCTGGAAACCCAGCTGCTGTCCTAGAGAATATGGTGGGCACAGAAGAAAATGTGTGTGGGGTGGGCTACCTCATAGGGCAGAGAGGCGAGGACATCGCCCAATTCTGGCTTCAGAGAACTTTGAGAACCAAGAAGCATCTGTGTTCAGCCTGAATTCTAGGACTTATGAGGTAGGAATGACTGAGGAGCTTCCTAACGTTCCTCCCCTGTAACTGCCAAACACATCCTAGGTTGGCTGGAGCAGAAGCAGGGGAGGAGGACACGGTATTCTCAGGATGCTAAGGTGCTTGGACCCCAGCAACTTTCCAAAGAATAAGGCATTGCTGAGCTCATGTCACAGAGCTGGCATGAGTCCCTGTGTGAAGGGTGTCCACTGAGGTTCCCAAAGGTCCAGACACTCTTTTTCAACATCGTTTTCTATTTCCTCCCTGTTTACCATGAACACTTGCAATTCTATTTTCCCTTAATCAGGCGAGGTTTGGAAAAACCAAGGCACCGGAATTCCAACTCTTTGCCTCCCCTCCTGGAAAGAAGGACCTGCTGTTCAAGGACTCTGCCCTTGGATTTTTGAGGATCCCCTCGAAGATAGACTCTGCACTGTACCTCGGCTTCAAATACTTGAGTGCCCTCCAGAATCTGAAGAAAAGTGAGTGAGAACTGGGCAGGGTGGGGAGCCAGGGAATAGGCAGTGTGCTTGGGGGTGGTCATTTCTTGGTCTCCCAGTCAATGAGGGCTCTTCACTGTAGTGGGTTTGATGCAGGTCCCAGTGTCTTTTGTTGACTGAGTTAGGACATTTTAGCATTGTGAGATGTGTCTCCAGACAAATGTTCCGGCTACCTGTTAATGCTGGCATATGTCCCTGTGCACATCAGGCTCCCCAGCCATGATAGAAAAATCAACTTGCCTCCTGTGAACGTGAACTGACAGAGCCAGGGCCCTCCTGGGATGAATCCAGGGACTTCCCTTTCCACCAAGGCCCTGGGCTTGGCCAGGATAAAATACTACAGTGAGGAACTCAGCCATGGCTATCCTTCTATTTGAGGGTCTGAGGTGGGAGTCTAGGTGAACACTAGTCTGCATTGTAGTTCATAGAGGTGTCTGAGGGCCCCAGGGGAGGTTACACAGGGATGATAGGTACCACCTCTTAAGGCTGCCACTGGTCCCATGTTATGGACCTTTCATCCTGTAGGATGGAGACATTAGGCAAATCATTACACTAAGGACTGATGGATGGATTAGATGCCAGAGAAGGTCTCTGAGGGAATGGAAGTTAGAAACAAACGAAGCTGCGTTGACCTGAAGAAGGGGCTGGGGGGCTGAGGTGTGGAGGACGAGAGGGGCCGTGTCTTGACTCACCCACTGGAGGAAGAGGCTCCCTAGTCTGTCTGTGGGAAGGTCTAGGCAGGAGAGGGCGCTCTGAGTGGACTCTGTGGAGATTGGAGGGGTAGTGTCTCAGTGTCCTTCCAAGGTTCAGGATCCCTGCCAACCTGGCTGTCCTCCCCCTCCACAGAGAAGTCGTCGCTGGACGCACGGCGCAAACAGATAGTGTGGTGTGCCGTGGGCAGAGAGGAGCAGAGCAAGTGCAACCAGTGGCGTCGCTGGAGCAGAAGGCAAGTGTCCTGTGCCTTGGCCTCCACCAGCGAGGACTGCATCGCCCTGATCATGGTAGGCAGCCGGCTGGGGGTTGGGGCCAGGGCAAGGGTGTGCAGATACAGAGCACCTGATGTGGGCAGTGCCTTTGTCACATGGTGGGGGGTTAACAGGTGCCCACTCAGCTGGGGGTCTGGCTCCTTAGAGGACCCAAGGGCGTGGGCTTCTGCTTAGAAGTGAAGTCAGGAGCCCCTGAGGCTAGCCAAGAAATGCCGGAGAGCGTCTGCTCAGGGCCAGTGCAGCCTGGGCAAACAGGCAGCTTCATGTTTAAAAAACTGTGTCATGGGCTTTCCACTCCTCTAAATATAAGAACAACTCACGGTTATTGTAGGTGATCTAAATATATAGAGAAGTATAATGGAAACAGTAAAACCCGCCTGTGAACTTACACAAGGAGATGGTTGTTGTTAGCTACCATTGAGCTGATTCTGGCTCATGGCAGCCCCATGTATGACAGAGTAGAACTGCGCCATAGGGTTTTCTCGGTTGTAATCTTTATGCAAGCAGATCGCTGAGGCTTTTCTTCCTTGGTACTACTGGGTGGGTTCAAACTGCCAACCTTTCGGTCAGCAGTGTAGCGCAAATCTTCACAGAGAGCAAACTCATAGCCATCGAGTTGATTCTGACTCCTAGAGATCCTATAGGACAGAGTAGAACTGCTCCATAGAGTTTCTAAGGCTGTAAATCTTTATGGAAGCAGACTGCCACATCTTTCTCCACGGAGCAGCTGGTGGGTTGGAACTGCTGACCTTTTGGCTTGCAGCCAAGCGCTTTAACCACTGTGCCACCAGAGGTCCCACAGAGAGCTAGCCACGGTGAAAGATTTGGTAATTTCTCACTCCAAAGTTCCGGCGTACATCTATGAACATTCAGGCAACCATACTGGATCAGACCTATGTCGTTTTTCAGTCCTTCCTCACTTAACAGTGTTTCATGGGCATTTTCCCACATGAACTCATATTCTTTGAAAACACTTAAAAAAAAGAAAAGATTTCAGGATGTCTTTTACTCGGCTTAGGCTCAGTTGAGTCATGACCTTTCTCCTCTTTGTCCCCCTTACTCTGCTGTTATCAGTAACTCTGTGATGAGGCATCCTTGACGACAAATCTTTGTCTACATCTCCACTTATTTTCAATATAGTTGTAGAAAATGATTCCTGGGTGAAGGAAGGAGCTTTGCAATCTTGATGAATCTGTGTTCTTATGTTGAAGGGTGGGCTTGCTCACTCTAACGGTGAGTGTATTTATTTCCCAGGGTCGCTATGCAAAGTACCACAAACTGGGTAGCTTATAAGAACAAATTTATTCCCTCTGAAGGCTAGAAGTGCACATCAGGGCACTGGCCGTGTTGATTCCTTCCGAGGCCTCTGAGGGAGAAACTGTTCCATGCCTCTCTCCTGGTGATGTTAGGGGATCCGCAGCTTGTAGATCACTTCAGTCTCTGCCTCTGTCTTCATGTGACCACCTTCCCTCTGTGTGTTTCTGTGCATCTCTTCTCTTTCATAAGGAGACCACTCAGATTGGATTAGGACCCACCCTCCTCCAGTATGACCTTATGTTAACTGATAGCATCTTCAAAGACCCTATTTCCAGGCAAGGTCACATTCGCAGGTACAGAGGGTTAGAACTTGAACATATCTTTTTGGGGGAACTGCCCCATAGGGTTTCCAAGGAGAGCCTGGTGGATTTGAACTGTTGGTCTTTTGATTAGCAGTTGAACTCTTAACCACTACGCCACCAGGGTTTCCAATGAAATGTGTAACAGTGAATAAAGCTAATGATTTTTGCTCATTTATTGAGCAATTCTGTGTAGCGCTGTGAATATAGTGCTAATGAGTGGAGACCATCTGTCTCCTCAGTGAGGGAGGCTGGTCCAGGAGGACATCCCCAGTGTGCTGGGGCACAGAAAGGGTTTTTTGTTCAGAGGATAGAGGGTTAGTACAACTTGTGTGTGATGTTTCGGTTGAATTGTTGTGGGGCTGTAGAGCATTAACAGTGCGCATGGCGTTTCCTTTGGGTGCTCAGTTAAAACAACTCCTACCTCTTTATGGTGCTCCAGAAAGCACGACATAGAGCCGGTCTCTTAGAGAGCTGTAAAGACAGGCAGGGCAGGGAACAGCCTCACTATGGTGCTGGGATTTGCTTTGTCTTCGCAGAAAGGAGAGGCTGACGCCATGAGCTTGGATGGAGGACTCGTCTACACGGCGGGCAAGTGTGGTTTGGTGCCTGTCCTGGCAGAGAACGCCAGTAAGTGGAGGGAGTGGCCTCTCTGATTTTATTCCCTCTGGGCCATGTGGGTGGGGACAAGCAAGATATTAAGATGGATGGATACATTCAAATGAGAGAATCAAGGAAAGAATGAACAAAACGGTGTGTGTTACTCATCTGCCTATTACACTGAGAACCGACAAAGCACAGATTGGTTTCCTCTCATTTAGAAAAAGGTTTAGTGAAGTATAATGCCTACAGAAAAGTGCACTCCGTGTACGACTCAATGACATCCACAAACTGTGCTCCCCCACTCGACTAGCGCCCGTATCAAGACACAGAGTGTTTCGGAAGTCCTCGTTGGCCTTCTTGTCACCACCTCCATCGTCCCAGGGGAAACCACCACCCTGACTTCTAACAGCACAGATCAGCTCTGCCTATTTGTGAACTTTACGTTAAAGGAGTCCCACAGCATGTACTTGTTAGCGTCTGGTTTCTTCCTCTCAGTGTTATGTTTGTGAGATTCATCCATGTGAGCCTGTGGTTGTAGAACATCCAATCCCGTTGTACAGTATTCTCTCATGAGACTCTACCCCAATTATTTATCCCTTCTGCTGTCCGTGGGCATTAGGGTAATTTCCAGATGGTGGCCGTCTTAGTTTCTTAGAGCTACATTAACAGAAATAGCCCAAGTGAGTGGCTTATAATGAACGGAAGTTTATTTTCCCACCGTTTAGGAGGCTAGAAGTTCAAATCCAGGTCGCTGACTCTAGGGGAAGGCTTTTTGTGTCTTCTCTGGGAGAAGGTCCTTATCTCTTTTCAGCTTCCGTTCCTAGGTTGCTTGGCAATCATGTGGTGTGTATTTTCCTCTCTGTGCTTCCTTGCTTAATCTGCTCTTATCTCTCAAAAGAGACTGATTTAAGACACACGCTCCACTAATACTGCCTCATTAGCTCAACAAAGAAAACCCATTCCCAAATGGGATTAGAACCACAGGTATGGGGGTTAGGATTTACAACGCATATTTCGAGAGACACAATTCAATCCGTAACAGTGGCAATTGTGAATAGCGCTGCTATGAACAGCCGTGTGCGTGCCTTTTGGGGAACACATACACACCTTTCTGTTGGATGCAACTGCTGGGATTAGTCTTCTCAGATTTGATTCTGCATTATTGAGATAAATCTTGTGATTTCTCAATAAATCAGTGTTTAGTAACATTTTGCTCATCTTTGTTCTTTCAGGATCCCAAGAAAGCAATGGCTCTGATTGTGTGACTAGACCATCAAAAGGTGAGTTGGAGTTAGTCACTTTTGGGGCAAAGGGTAGTCCTTGTAGCCAGAAGAGGGAGTGGTGGGGGCTTTAAAAAACCCATAGAAAGAGACACAGCCATAGAAGCCATGGCAGTTCTGAAGATGCAAATGATTCCTAGGAGAATAATTATAATTAACGGCTATGTCAACCTTTGCACTTGGCAGAGAACTTTCACGTATTTCCTCATTGTGTCTGGCCACATGGAAGGAGAGGTGTTATCACCCTTATATTTCCAAGGGACGGCTGGTGGATTCAAACTGCCGACCTTCTGGTTAGCAGCCAAATGCTTAACCACTGTGCCACCAGGGCTTCTTTATACAGAGGAGCAAAGGGTGGCTCAGAGAGTTTCCTGAAGTATATAGAAATTCACTCACAGTGGTAGATAATACTGTGGCAGATCCTGGCCTTGAACCAGGGTCTCCTGTGGTAAATCCAGTACTCTATGCACCACCCCAACCTGCCTGCCAGAGGTAGAGCTGGCTCAGCTCTGGGGGAGGCTGCAGTAGGTCTGAGGGGAGTCTGTCGGGTGCGCTGTATCAGAACAAGGATAACCCTCCCACAGTGCAAGGCTGACTCGGATCAGCACAGGGACGGTCCTTGGAGACACCCCCCAACCCATCTGCCCAACAGCTAGTTTGGTGTTGGTCACTGTCCTTGACCACACACATGCAGTTGGTGATTTATGCTCGATTGGGGACGCTTTCATTGTTCAGTAGCCCACACCTGAAGGTGAATTGCTGGTTTATAGCTCAAGGACATTGTGTGGCTGATCAAGGAGAGTCCCCAGCACTCACTTAGAATTAGCTCGTCTTTATTACTTTATCTCATAGCTCAGCTCAATCTCAGCTCCACGTAGGGCAGCAGCTTAAGCCTGTTGGGGCCGCCTGGCAATGGTCAGTTACCTGAGTGACTCACCCCCTGGTGATGCTTCGTGACCCCTTCTGGCCTGGCTTGCAGACAGCTGCATTCCACTAAGACTTGTTCTTCTGTCATCTGTTGTGCAAGGGTATCTTGCCGTGGCCGTTGTTAGGAAGTCAGATGCCGACCTCACCTGGAACTCACTGAAGGGCAAGAAGTCCTGCCACACCGCTGTGGGCAGGACCGCAGGCTGGAACATCCCCATGGGCCTGCTCTTCAATCAGACAGGCTCCTGCAGATTTGGTAAGGAGTCCTGGAGGGAGCCGTGCATGGGCCATCCTGGGGGACAGGTATATCCTACTGTGGATCTCTGAGCCCAGAGGGTGGATTTGCAATCATGGAGCCTCAGGGAAGGGAGAGGCGGAGTGGGGAATATGCAGGTTAATTGTAGCCTAAAGGCAAGTACACCTCCTCCGACACCCCATCTGCCGCCCCAGGATAAAACCTGGAATATCAGCCTGTTTCTCTGCACCCTAAAAAGTTCCTGGGTGGCACAAATGGTTTGTGCTCATCTACTAGCCTAAAGTTTGCTGTTCAAACCCACCCAGTGGCACTGCAGAAAAAAGGTCTGGCAATCTGCATCCACAAGGATTATAGACAAGAAAACCCTAGGGAGCAATTTTACTCTGTAACATAGGGTCACTATAAGTTGGAATCGACTTGAAGGCAATGGGTTTGGTTTTTGGGTTTGGATATCTGTACCCTAAGAATGAATGCAGGTACTAAGAAGTAGAAAAAAATTTTTTTTTTTTTTTAACTTCTTGGTGCTTCATGTCTAAATTCCTCATAGACCCTGGCTTCCAAACATCAGAAAAGGCACCTGCCTGCCTCATGAAGTCTGTCCTCTATTTCTAGTCAGAACTGACCTTTTATTTCCCACTGCAAAGGAACCCTAATAAGACTTCAGGGGTTCTGGCTTAACCTGCTTCTGGGGCATTCTCTTCCTGCCACACACTGCAAGCCCACCTCACCCACATCACCTGTTAGGTAAGGGCCACTCATGGTGACTCAGGTAGAAGAGCTGACTTCCTATGTTCCTTCTGTACAGGTGAATTCTTTCGTCAAAGCTGTGCCCCTGGGGCTGACCCGGGATCCAATCTCTGTGCTCTGTGCATCGGTGACGATTCGGGCCAGAACAAGTGCGTGCCCAACAGCAAGGAGAGATACTATGGCTACACCGGAGCTTTCAGGTGTGTGCTGCAACCCTCCTCCACCAAGAGGTGCCTTGTCCTCCGCCATCTTGGCACTGCTTTTCTAAGGCGAGGACAAGACCTGTCACAGCCGAAACAGGGGTGGGCAGAGCTAACAGCTGGCACCACTGAGGGCTCTCTCCACCAGGCCCACTGCCACCAAGTGGAGGCTAGCATGAGCTATCTGACCTCAGCTCTGCCTCTCTGTGATCTTGAACCAAATTTAACCTCAGTGGGCCTCACTGTCTCATCCTGAAAATCAAGTGGGTAGAGCGTGGGCATCTTAAGTCCTTCCTACAATTTAATTGTATGGGGAGCCTTCTCTTTCAATAGCCACCACCCTCTCCTCCCAGGTAGGTCATCATTACTTCCTATGATTTTATTTTTCTTTTTGATTTGGCCTGAGAAATGGCAACGAGAAAGCAGTATTGGAGTGTTACTCCCCAATAGTGAAATGAAAAATAAAACAAACAAAATTTTTTTTTTTTATGAATTCATCTATGATAACTACTTAGTAATTTTTATAGTAACTATCCAAAATCCCCATTTTACAATTCTATTCCTCTGAGTGTTCCTTCCAGTAGTATATTTAGGGGTTCGGAGGGAGTAAAGAGAATCCTCCCCACCTTTTTCTCCATGCTCCAAGAATATATTCCACCACTAAATGGTACTAATAAGGTGGATCAGCCTGGCAGTGGCAAATGCACGAGGCCTCTAGACTTAAAAAAAAAAAAAAAATTCAGTAATCTTCCAGCGGTGGGATGACACAAAAGTGGATTTTGTATAATCTGAGTGACTGAGAAGAAAAACAAAACAAAACAAAAATTGGTGAGTGTACAAAAATATTTTTAAGGAGCTAAAGATTTACAAATGGAAAAGTTGTGATATGATTCCATTCAGAAATATTTTACAGACACATGCCTGATAAGAAACCAAAGGAATCATATGTTCTTTTTTTTTCCTTTATCACACATTGTGGCAAAGTATTATCTCACCGGAAATACATACATTTTAGTATCCTTATTTGTACTAGAAAAGAATTCTTTGTCTTTTGTTTAAATTATGCCCAGGATCAATATTGGGAAAATTTATAACAAAACAATTGAAAGCTAGAACAGAAGTCCTATTCACCTCTGTATGTCTAACATCCTTATACTGCTGGTTCTTGATCATTAACTTTCAGCTGCTATCTGCTGTCTTCCTGTTATGGAAGCAGAAGATCTAGCCTTCTCATACTGCCCCCTGTGCCTCTCCCACCCCACCACCACAAACTTCATGTCCCTTTAGCACCCAATAAGATTATACTATATTCAGTGCTTATGTTATTATGACCAAGTAGGTATAATTTCATATTAAATATGTGTGTTGCAAGATTACATTTCCCATTGTACAAACTTTTTGTTTCTTCTAGAGTTAATAGGTGTTTTATTTTTTTCATTTGCTTCATTTTGTGTGTTTTTTTAGATCACTAGTTATCTCAAAACTCCTTGTTGCAGTGTACATCTCCTTACATACACACACACACACACACACACACACACACACACACGCACTAGGTGCTGTCTCAGTTTCATTATTTGCCTGGAAATATTTCTCCTGAAGACTTCTATCCTTCAGCTCCAGTCTGGGTTGTTGCTGTCTAGGTCACTCACACATCTATGGTTGTGGGATGCCCCCGGTCTTCATGCTGGGATTTCCCTTGGGCTGAATGATGAACCTGTATTTTCACACACCTGGACATGCATGTAATTACATTTAGAATTTATGAACCATTAACTCTAATATCTAGAGCACTAGTGTGGCTTCCAAAGTGAAGTCAAAGGATTAGATTGATGTCAAATTTAATTTTAATGTTCTCTGGTGTTTTAAAGTTGTATTTTATTGGAATTCATTAAATTGGGCACTTGATGGGCTCTTTTCATCTGGAAACTCATCATTTAATTCTGAGAAATTTTACTTTATTATTTCTTTAATAATTTTCATCCCTCTATTTTCTCTGATTTCTCTTTAAACTTTAATCCTAAAATTATAGAATCTCTTGGATTACCATCTAATTATTATCTAGTCTTCTTTATCTTCTAATTACTGGGATATTTTCTTAGTTTAATCTAATAATTATGTGATTTTTATTAATTTTTATGATGATAATTATTTTTTTACCTTCCAAGAACTCTTTTGTATTTTAGGCTGTTCCTTTTTAGAGCTTCCTGTTCTTGTTTCATGAATGCCACTCTGTCTTTCATCTCTTTAATGATATTAATTGTATTACAATGAGTTTTATTCTCTCTCCTATATTGTTTCTGTATTCTCTGAGAGTAATTGTTTTGGTGTCCGTATCTTATAGTTTTTCTTCAAGTATCTGATGGTCCCTGGCTGTTTGTGCATATTTGAGAGTGAAACACTAGAATCTAACTGTTAGTTCTGTGTCAGTTGCCAAATCTTGATGACTACTGGGCCTCACTCTAGGGCAACTGGGCTGGGTCATTTCACTGTGGGGCATCCAAATATTAGAATCTGTAGGTATTTCTCTTGAGTTGAGTTGACCAGTTTTCCCAGAGAAGGAATCCTCCTGTCTGTTTCCTAGGAGATACAACTTTGACAGCCAGCCTTCTGGGAGCTGAGTGGAGGAAAGTGTCTGTCTGGGATTTAATTTTGCAGGATATAAATTTTCATTCCATTCTCTATTTTCAGTGCTGCATCCTTGCCTTCAGCAGCGCTTGGTTCTCTAGTCCATAGTATCTCTCAGGTCCAAACTTCCCAGTGAACAAACCTTCATTCTTCTGCCAGGGTGAGGGAGGAGCAACCTCCCAGTTGCATGGGATATGAGGGTACCTAAATTGAATCTTATACAGGCTTTATCCAATACTCCTGTTCTTAGCCACTTTCAATGGTACATAATCCCTCTAATTACTGAGCCTTTCTGGGGTTCCACAGCACACAGCAACTTTCTTCTGGGCTTCCCTCACTTCTAACTTAGGTTTACAGCTCTGTTTGCTCTGCTAGGTAATTTACTGCACATCCATTTGCTCTCTAACTTCTAAATGTTATCATTATTCTCTCCTCCCCATTTTTTCTCTTTCTCTTTTATGAGCTTATGGCTTTAAAAAAAAATCTCATTACCATTATTTCATTGGAATTTTAGAACCAGAGAGGATACACCTAATGCCATTTTAAACCAGAAGTTCCCAGAAATATTTGCCTTTATCTTTTACATGTTTACTTCCATTTTTTTTTGGTGGGGGGAGGAGATGTATATCTATGAGTAAGAACCACCTTGATGGCACCTAACAACCACACATATTACAAATATTTATGAAACCTCAAATACTGTCTCTTCTCTGGCTGAGGTGTTTATTTTCTGGAACATTTTAGGTGTCTGGCTGAGAAGGCTGGCGATGTTGCATTTGTGAAGGATGTCACGGTCCTGGATAACACTGATGGTATGTGGAGCTGATTCACAATGCATCCTGGTATTCAGATTTGCTATTGGGAAGGTATTATAACCTTTTCCAGGCTTTTGATTAAGTTAATTCCAAAACTCTTTGCCTTGGTTGGCAACATGGTAACATCGATAAGTGTCACATTGATTTTGAAATAAAATTCACACACACACACAGACACCAGCCATACCTAGTAGCAAGTATCTGCCAGGCTTTATCTAATCAACCACAAAAGCATAACATCTGCCTGCCCCAGATGTGCATGCCTACGGAAAACTGAATGTGGATGTTAGCAAAACTGAACATCTACCAATAAAGTTTCTCTTTTTAAAAAGCAACTAGGGGCCTTCATTCAGCCACATGTGATCCTTGGTCTGGAAACTCCTTGGAGAGTTAGTGGAGACAAAATCACAAGCAGATGCAGATGATGGCAGGCACTCTACCAGCCAATGATTACACAAATACTTTGTCTTCTGATCTCTAGACGAAAAAAATCATTACCAAATTCAAGACCCCTCAGCCATTTGCTACCTTCCAAACTCTACCTCTTTTCTCGGCCTCCCACCCCTCATTGTTGGCAGATGATTTGTCGTTTTGTTCCCCGGGAAAGAACTGCCTCAACTTTCTGACTCCCTTCTTCAAAGATATCTACAGCCACAGCCTTTCCTCCCTCCTAGGAGGTAGAACAGAAGCACTAAACACACTATTAGGCCAATTAACTGGGATGTCCCATGAAACCATGACGCTAAACCTCCAAATCAAGAAACTAAATCCAATGCATTGTTTGGTTGTACATAAGAAATCTCAGCAACTGCCCTTTTTTTTTGTTGTTGTTGAAAATATATCTATCACACAACTTTTGCCAATTCAACTTTTTATAAGTGTACAACTTATTGACAGTAATTCCGATAATTGACCCTGCAACCCTTACCCTTAATCAATGTGACGTTTCCATCACCATAAACTGAAACTCAGATACACCACCGATTTCTGATACATTTGAGGTTTGTATAGTTTGTGCAGGACAAAACCACATTCTCTCTCTTTCTCATCACCATGACCCCAGCGTATGCATTTTGACAGCCAATGGATTGGTCACAACCACCCAGAAAGAACCCCGTAACTAAGCTGGACAGCTGTGACAAATGCCACCCTCCTTCTCTCCCCCAGGAAAGAACACTCAAGAGTGGGCTAAGAATCTGAAGCCGGAGGACTTTGAGTTGCTGTGCCTCGATGGTTCCCGGAAGTCTGTGTCTGAGGCTTGGAAATGCCACCTCGCCGTAGCCCCAAGTCATGCTGTGGTATCTCGGGAAGAGAAGGCAGAATACCTTGAAAATGTGCTGCTCCAGCAACAGGTATGGACCATGAGGACCCCCCAGTTCTTTCTTAGTGCATGGGCTTCTGCCAGGTGGGGAATCATAGAGCTGGGTGAACCAGTCCATCTCAAGTCTTTCTGTCTAGTCCCCCTGTTTGAAGCTGGTGGTGACAGTATTTGCTTCATCCTCTGGGACTGTCCCGAGGCTGCATGAGGATGGCAGAGGCTTCCAACTCTGGACTTTCTGTGACTGACTTCATTTCTGCCCTGAACCTGTGTGTCCTTGGACTGTTGCAATCACAGCCTGGCTTAGGGACAGTTACTCTTTGTTTCCCTCCTTTTGTTCTTCAGGCAAATGTGGGGAGCAACTGAGGCTCCCTCCCACCACACCTAGGTAGAGAGTGTTTGCCCTGTTGATATCTCCAGAGCCTGTGCCTCTTGAGCAATGTTCTAGACACAGTGAAACAAATAAGGCTGCTCCTGCACTGTAATTTCTAAAAACAACAAACCCAGAACTTGTTCTACAGATTTAGGGCTACTTTCGTAAATGTGGTTTGAAGGAAATCTTAAAATTCCCTTCTTCTCAATCTCTATGATTCTTTATTGCAACTTTTGTTTTTGTATGAGAACATCATGTCTTTAGGTGTCCTTTTAAAGACACAGTCCTGGAATGGTAACAATGGCCACAGTGTTGTTGTTGTTCTTGTTAGCTGCCATTGAGTTGACCACCAACCCATGGTGACCCCATGCCACCGGAATGAAATGCTATCTGGTCCTGCGCCATCCCCATGATTGGTTGTGGATTGGCATCAATAGGGTTCTCATTGGCTGATTTTCAGAAGTAGATCACCAGGCCTTTCTTTCTAGTCTGTCTTAGTCTGGGCACTCTGCTGAAGCCTGTTCAGCATCATAGCAGCACGCAGTCCTCCACAATAGCTGACATTTATTGAGTCCTGACTATGGTGCACTCTCTGGTGCTGGTAGGAGGTCTGCCATCAGTGAGGTGTTTGGTTCTCACAGCACACCTATGCAGGAGTTACCATGTGATCCTGCTGCATCCAGAGGAGGAACAGTGGCTAAGGGAGGCTGAGTGACCTGCCCAAGGCAATGACCTGGGTAGTGGCAGAGACTGGATTTTCCAAGGCAGACTGACTCTCTGGGAGAGGTGGCATACTAAAATGTTCTAGGTGATCAACTTTTGAGGGAAGATCTCAAAAATCTTCAACTGTCCCCTAGCTACCCATAGGAAGTTCTAAAGGAAGAGCCACAGATTAAGGAGGATGGAAAATGGTCGGTGGTGAGATCAGAAACAGTGAGGGGCTTGGAGCTGCTCAGAGAAGGCAGGTCCAGGGTGGGTCTGACACTGGAGATTTGGGCAGCAGGGGGACATGGGGCAAGGGAAGTATCAGCCAAGAAAGTGAAAAGTTCCAGAACTCAGCTCCTTCTGCTCCATAGTTTTCCCGGGGCTGGTCCTGAATAGAAGAAACCCCCTTGGCCTTTCCTAATCCACTAACTCTTCTGTTCCTCAGCCACTCACTTACTGTCTGTCCTTTTGACGCAGGAACAGTTTGGACAAAATGGATCTAAATGCCCGAAGCAGTTTTGCTTGTTCCAGTCTAAAACCAAAAATCTACTGTTCAACGATAACACTGAATGTCTGGCCAAACTCCAGGGCAAAACAACATATGAAAAATATTTAGGAGCAGCCTATGTCACGGCCGTTGCTAATCTGAAAAAATGCTCATCTTCCGGTAAGTGGATCATAGATAATATCACCAGGAAACCACCATGGATGAAGGCCAAAGTTTGAGGGACAAACAGCATTCTAGGGATGATGATTGGTCTAAAACAATTTAAGGCAATACACTACCTCTTCACTCCAGGAAATCTCAATCTCTTTGGCAAAGTGAAACAATTAGAGAATAAAATAAAGTAGTAGGTAATATGCCAAATTTTTATAATGCTGATGGTGACTGCCATGGAGTTTTTAGAAACTGAAAATTTGTTTTATTCAGCAAAATGAAATGTGTATGTGTACATATGTATTGAGAAATGACAAATTCTGGTTTCTAGACAGTTGTCATAATACCAGTCATAACCAGTAAAAAACCAGTTGTCATAGAATCGATTTTGACTTATGGCGATGCCACCTGTGTCAGAGTAGAACTGGGCTGCATAGGATTTTCAACAGCTGATTGTTTGGAAGTAAATCACCAGGTCTTTTTTCCCAGGTGTTTCTAGGTGGACTCGAACCTTTAACCTTTAGGTTAGTAGCTGAGTGTGTTAACCATTTGTACCACCCAGGGACTCCAAATACCAACCATAGAGAATACAAATCCTCAAAAAGTTTGAATGTAGGAAAATTTATCCTAGCCAGGAAAATGTAATGAAAATGACTTAATCATTTAAAAATATTTAGAAGACATAGCAGTGTTTTAGGCTCCAGGCAGAGTTCCTGGGTAGAACAATCAGTTAAGCGCTTGACTACTGTCTCCGTTATCTAGTGCTGCTATAACAGAAATACCACAAGTGGGAGGCTTTAACAAACAGAAATTTATTTTCTCATAGTTTAGGAGGCTAGAGTCGGAATTCAGGGTGCCAGCTTCAGGGGAAGACTTTCTCTGTCAGCTCTGGGGGAAGGTCCTTGCCTTTTTTCAGCTTCTGTTCCTTGGGTCCTTGGTGATATTCATGTGTATGGCATCCATCTTCACCCATCTCTGCTTGCTTGCTTAATCTGCTCTTATATATCTCAAAAGAGACTGATTAAGACGTACCCTACACTGATTCCGCCGCACTGACATAACAAAGAAACCCATTCCCAAATGGGATTATAACCACAGGAATAGGGGTCAGGATTTACAATACATATTTTGGGGGAGACACAATTCAATCCACGACAACTACTAACCAAAAGGTTGGTGGTTTTAACTCACCCAGAGGCACCTTGGAAGAAAGGCCTGGTAATCTGCTTCCAAAAGGTCACAGCCTTGATAACCCTCTGGAGCGCAGTTCTACTCTGCACACATGGGGTCACCATGAGTCAGACCCGACTCAACGGCAACTGGTCTGGCTGCTTAGGTTCCAGGTGATGATTCTCAAATTTTAGCGCGCATGGACTCCCCTGTGCACTGTGATCATCCAGGTTGCTGGTCCCTCACCTGGAGTCTGAGGCTTTAGGGGTGGGGAGAATGGTGCAGGGCCAGAAATCTCTGTATCAGCGCTTCTTGGCAGGGGTGAAACTGGGACAACGTGAGTACAGCGAAGGATGCGTGTTGTAATGGGTGGAAGAAGGGAAGAGAAAGGTCTCTGTTTTAGTATCTTCCTTGATTTATTGATTGATTAAAAAATCTTATTGATTTTACTGACTTCAAAAAAAGAAAAGAACAAGAAAGCAGTTTCTATTCAGCGGCAGCAGCAGGCAGTTTCTGACCCCCCACTCTGTTGTGTCCCGCAGGACTCCTGGAAGCCTGCGCCTTCCTCA